TAAAGTCAATCATATTCTCATAATCTTCATTGAAAAGTTTAGCAAAATATCTCATCCATTTTTGTTGAATATCTTCTTCAAAAAAAGTACTTTTTTAATTTTCATCCTTAATGCACTTCACTTGCACTAAATCCTTACTACTTTTATATCTTTGTTTGGCTAACTTATACATATATCTTTTACCCTCCTTAATATCTAATTTATTATATAAATCAATAAAAGCTAAAATCTTTGCATCACATATTGCTTTCTTAGACTCCTTACGGGCCTCTTTGTATCTTAATTGATATTATACAATTAAGCTGAAATTATATAAATAATAATTAATTGAAGTATCATCCTTATCTTATATGACATATATCCCCAAAGGTGTCATTCAATAAGTTGGGTGAGCTTTAAGAGATCAAGAAAGACAAAGAGTGAGTGCAAGAGATAGAAAGAGACGGAGACCGAAAAGGAGAGAAATAGGGAGTGTTATTTTGCAAGAAAGAGGGGGTGAGATAAAGAAGCAAGCATGTGCAAGTGAACACACTAATAGCTAAGATCAAGAGCTGAGCCAAGCATACATGAGTACCAGCGAGCAAGCAAATGCATGAGCATTCATTTTTGAAGCCAAAGCCGAGTGGATCAAGGGGAGCGGTCGACTAATTAAGGAGTCCATGTCAATATCATAAGGCTATTATTTCGACATCAAAATATAATATTCTTCTACCTTCAAGCTAAGAGGTAACTTTCCTTCTACAATATATACTACTTATATCAAATTTTATGACTAAAAAGTCTTCCAAGGATTTCCTAGGGTTTCAATAAGAAGAAGAAGAAATTATGATTTTAATTAAAAGTTTGTTTAATTATAGTATATAAAGATAAATTTAGAAATTATATATTAATTCATATTTTTAATTTAAATATAATGCAATAATTTTGGATGAAATAATAAAATTGAGATGATATAATTAAGTAATAAATTTAGATTCAGTATAATTGAAATATTTTGAAATATTTAAAAAAACAGTAAGAAGAGAGAATTAGAATATATTGTTTCAAATTATGCAATATGAGGCTCGCCTATAGTTCGGCTGAGGCACTCCTCACCTCGCTAGAGTGAGGCGTCGCCTCAACATATTTATATATTTTTTATTAAAACTTATTTAAATCCTAAACTAAAGTACCAAACAAATCACACCTTCATGCACTCCTAAACCACAACAGCATCCTCTCGACTTCCTTGATATCCAGTAGCCAACATCATCGTAGCCATTGTCAAGATCGCTTGAAAGTTGTGTACCACCACCACCTCTTAAATTTTGAATTATTGATCACATCTTTATATTGATGACTAATACTTATGAAAGAGGAAGATAATTGAAATAAATGAATAATCAAATTAGGAGGCATTGGACTCTGTAGGATGAGCTAGATCAGAGACCAATTTGTTAAGATGACAACTCAAATAAAGGCCCCATCAGTGATAACAGTGTAGATGATTTTTGACTTGTTGTCAACTATTTCAACTTTTTTATATGAGTAGGGAATCAGGAAAAAAGAAATTTGGAGTTGAATTTGATGTTTTAAAACATTTTTATGTAATTCTTATAATTTATGTTGTTATGCTCTTATACTATTTGAATTTCAATTCTATTTCATACAATTAATCACTTGTCACTTTATGTCTTGTGCAATTTTATTTGTTTCATATGTATGTCAATTTATTATTTCAAAATTCAATAGAAAGTTAATATGTCATCCTTTAACATATTATATAGGTATTATATAAAAAATCACTTTTAATCCTTCTTTCACTCTACACAATTTTTTTATTATGAGGCTTACTCCTCGCCTCACGCAGGAAAGGCACATCAATACCCAATTGCCCAATTTGAAACCTTGTTAGATTAAATGAATTTATTAAAAATTACTTGAAGTTAAGAATTTATAAAAATATATTCAATTTATCAACAATTTTTCAATTTATTAAATTTAACAATAAAGATATCATTTAAGGAATAAAACAAAAAGAACAAATAAAAATTTATTATGTTGTCGAGGAAAATTAGAATTTTACTATTTCACTATGATAAAGAATAAATTAGGGATTTCGACTATTATGATAATAAAGTAACCAAAAATGATAAAAATAATAACAAAATGCAATATAGATGAGAGGAGTTACAAAAAGGTGAGTTTGGAATTTTTAAATGAAGCATATTTTTAGAATCTTATTTATTAATATATATGCATCAGTAAGGAGACAATATTCAAGCGGCAAACAAATTTTCCAAATAAAAGTGGATAATTATTTTCCAATTTTATAATAATTATTTTCATTTTCCTCTAAATCAAATGCATTAATTTAAAGCTTTATTATATGCATTGAAAAATGTCCTGATTAATACCAGATTGATATTACAAACATCAAAAGTGATTTTTCTTTCTCAATTTACGAAATATGACACTTCACAATTAAATATCAAATAATAAGTTATGATATGAGAAGCAAAAGATACTATTTAAAGTAAATGCATGATAAGAGGAATGTAAATGAATATGTTCTATATGAGTGTGAAGGTTGAATGATAGAATTCATCCATTATAGTGCTCGTTGAAGATGTAATATACTCGCACATAAATGAAAATAGAAAAGGTTCATCTACCTCCTCTAGGGTTAGGTTTGGAGAAAGTTATGAAATGTTGTGCCTTTAATGGTGCACATTCAGATGGCGACACTTCAGATAGGTGTATTATAAGATAAGATATGAAATAATAAGGAAAATTAACAATTCCTTATTCGACCATTGTTACAAATATATTTTCATACTATTTAAGAAAAAGAAACATACTCTTCATTTATTTACAAAAACTTGCATGCATTTTATTATGAATTAGAAATATAATTAGCCATTGAGTTATTTAACTTATCCTTTAGTTGATAAATACTTTCAAGAAAATCACCTTTAACCTAAATAAATGAAAGAAGAGAATTCGTGTATAGCAAAATGATAACCTCAGAGATGAGGTATTCTATTAAAATAATATATATTAATTTTTTATTTTAAAAAATATATATTTTGTAGATATAGAGGACAAAGATATGGTGTGATCTATGACTTGCTCGTAAATAAAAGTTATGGCTCAATTGGCTCTTTTCAAATTGGAACAATACATGCTAAAAGTGATGTGAAAATGTTCTATTTATTTATTTACAAAGACTGGCATAATATTTTCTAAATCCTTGACTTATTACATAATAGAAATATAATTAACCACCGAGTTATTTAGCTCGTCCTCTAATTGATAAATATTTTCAAGAAAAATCCCTTTAGCCTATATAAATAAAAGAAGAGAGTTCATGTATAGCAAAAGGATAATCTCAAAAATGAGGTATGGTAATAAAATAATATGCATTAATTTTTATTTTTTTAAATATATATTATGTATGAATTGTTTATGAATAAAAATCATGATTCAGTTGGGCCGTTTTTAAATTAGAAGTTCACATGCTGAAAGTGATGTGAAAATGTTTAAAATTTTCATCCAACTATTTATTCCACTACGAAATTTTAAGCTTCCAGGGTAAGTCGTGACATTTAAACATATACATATGTGTTTGATTGGAATTGGAAGTGTGGAAGACTATTGAAATTGGAAGGGACTTGCGATTTAAAGCTTTATGGAGCAATTAAGCGAACTCAAGATCCTATCAATATAAAATCAAAGCGAATGGAGAAAAGTATTGTCATAAAATGTTATAGGAAATACTTGAGTTCGCAAATAACCCTAAGGTAATACTTGAGTTCGCAAGCAAACCTACCCAAAATTAGTACAAAACAAAGAGGAAAACTGCTGTTCGCAGAGAGAAAACAGCCCAAACAGTGGGAAATCCGAGAGAAACTTAAGAGAAATTCATAGGAAATCAAAGCAAACACTTGTATTCCACTAGTAGATGAAAAGCACTTGCAAGATACAATTTTCCTTCAATTCGAGGGGAAGTAAATACTCTCCACAATCTCCGGCAACCCAAGAGCCCAAAAACAAACCCTAGATCTCAAATAAGATTCAAATTCGAGATGAGAGCCAAAATCTCTCCATAACTCCTAATTAAAGACAAAGAAAAAATACAAATTCCCTAAAACAGCCCTTCAATTTAACACTTGTATTCCACTAGTAGATGAAAATCACTTGCAATATATAATTTTCCTTCAATTCGAGAGGAAGGAAATACTCTCCACAATCTCCGGCAACGCCAAGAGCCCAAAAACAAATCCTAGATCTCAAAAAAGATTCAAATTCGAGATGAGAGCCAAAATCTCTCCATAACTCATAATTAAAGACAAAGGAAAAAATACAAATTCCCTAAAACTGCCCCTCATTAAAAAATTTCCCTCCCAAAATGGATTTAACCCCAAGTGGGGCCCATAGCAGGGGCTTACGCAAACTCCTTATTCGGGTTTTCTCCATACGCAAACTCCTTCCTCATTTTTATCGGATCCCATTCTTGATCCATACCCTATCTCTCAACCATGAGATCATGAATTCGATCCCTACATACTCCTTACAATATTGCTCATTTTTGAAAAAATATCACGTGCATTTTCATTTGACTCTTGTATCGAAGAATTCCCCCTTTAATGACTCTACTTAAAATTTTATAACTAACCTTGTGCCTCTTTATAAAATATATATTTCTATCATTATAGAGGGTATGGAGGGGGGTGTTCCAGGGCAGCATCTGGGTCCGATGAAGGCTGTGTTAGCCAAAGCTATCAATAGCAAAGTTATAAATAATTGAGTTAGAGAAAAATAAAGCTTTAAATCACTAGATTTCCACAAGAAATTCAAAAGATATGCCCAAAATGCTAAGAGGCGGTTACAAGAATCACTAGATTTTCTGTTTCATAGGGCCATATGCTAGTTATTTCTACAGAAGCCATGCAAATTTAGGATAGCCGACAAAAAGTGTGACCTATAAAAATTTACCCACAGATACAGAAATTGCATACCTGCACTGACTCGGAATCTTTCTCGGTAGCTTTGGGACCTTTCCCTGAACTTGAGCTAGCAGAAACACTTTCAGAGGAGGGCTTGTCAGCACTGCCCTTTAGCTCTGCCTCTTTCTTCGCTCTAGCTTTTGCTTTAGCAGATGTTGATAAAACAGCGGTGGGTAGCTTAACTGTTGATGTTGATGAAGGTGGTGTAGTTGGTCGAGGATACTCAAACAAAGAAGGCTTGGCATTTGATACAAATTCAAATCTTGGAACTTTGAGATCATGATTTAGACCAATAAATGCAGTTGGTGAGAAGGACAAGCTAATGAAGTACAGGAGGGGATACCAGTACCAAAATTGGCTAAATACTGCCAGTCCAACAACAGCTGTTATTTTATTATACCTAGTTTTAGAAAGCAAACTAATTGTAACATTCCTTCCACCAGCATCCAGAATTCCAGAAGCTAAAATGGCACCCATCTTGCTCATTGTATCTTCATGCTTATCCTGAATTATTTTTTCCAACTGACGCCTGCAAGCAGAGCAATGTAAAGCATTGCTTATAGCAAGAGAAGCACTAAATCTAGAATTCAGACAACAAAACGTATACCTAAATGTTCCCACACGATGGTCACAAGATTCATTTGTCTGTATCATAACCATTGCCATAGCTATTAGAGCCCCTTGACGAACAAAATCAACAACATCTGATGTCAATGGCTCCAGCAAAGAAATGGCTTCACTTAGACCAGTTCCAGCACAAGAGATGCCTATGGCTAGAGCTGCACCATATCTAACATGCGGGTTGTATGACTCCGAAAGTAGAGAAACAATTCTTGGTGTCTGAAATAAAAAAGTAGAGTGAGCAATTTATCAAATAAATTCATAATAGAAAATTCAAGATGATTCTCAAGACAATGTGATTTGGGATCTGCCCTCACAAACTAGGGGAAAAAAAACAAAGTACACATCATTGCACCTTTGTAAATTAAATCAAAAAGAAAATTTTCTAGTTGCAGCAAACTGACTTGTTCAGGTTCAGAGTACAAAACAAATCCAAGGGCAAGAACGGCTGTCCTTCTAACATCATCACTAACATCGGAGACAGCAAAATGGAGGAGCTGATGTATCGCCTTGTTATTAGCTGTTCCTCTGTAAGCCATGGCCAACGCATACATGCCACCATAGCGAAGTATTGGATCTTGATCCCTAGTGAGCTGTTCGATCAAAGTATCAGCTTCTTCTTCTCTACCATATACAGTTAATGCTATGCCAAGAGACAGGCCTCTGCAAAAAAGGGCAAGAACCAAAATAAGTTCACGACAAAGAAAACTAAAATTAGGTACATATTACTGGCAAGCAGCATTGAAACACTAAGTGAAACCAATTGCATAGGTGATAATAAAGCACAAAAACAAGCAAATTTTGACACCATAGACAGTCTATACTAGTAAAAATAGTATCCATATTAACACAAAGATCATTTAGTTAAAACATGTTTTAGCTCATAATCATGTGAAGTACAATAACCCCAAGGGTTCAATTGGTTGTCTGAAGTTAGAAAACATGTTCTTAAAAATGGTAGAAAACATGTTACGAAAAAAAAGGTTAAATCCATTTTGATTGCATGTAGTTAGCTATTAACATTTATTTCAAACTCCACAAAACGTAAGGAATTCATTTTCACATAAAAAAGCTGAAAATGAAATCATCATCATGTTAATCATATTTTATCTTTGCAAATAACCAAATGAGCCTTGAGATGAAATAGAAAAACACGAAAAAATCGCACTGTTATTTTCATTATTGTTGTCACTACAATCATCATGAACATAGCTTTGGCAACAATTTTATGAAGACTTCACAATTCATGAACTGAATAAATTGTTTGTTCTATTTTTCATAAATCCTTTAAAACTTCTTCTAAGTATTTTAATTTTAAGACATTAGCCTAAACCTTCACATCAAAGCACTGCATATTGATTCTCTCAACTCCATTTACCAACGCAAGCAAGTACTTGTTAGCATATCATCAACAACTGTTACTCCGACAATTCTCATAAATTAGGCCACTGCACCTGATCATTCACAGTTCCACCAAACAACCAGCTTAACATTTTTCATTTACAACATATGTATTAATCAAGGCACTAGCAACATAGCTCCTTAGGTACTCAAGTAAAGCGAGGAGAAACCTACACAATTTACGCTGACTAGAGCATTTTGTCTAAAAGATGAGATATGACAGCGGCTTACTAATGCCTCTCTTTTGGCAAAACACAAGCGACTTTGTAAGCTTGCATAACTCATCAGTCTGTCTTTATTTTTTGGCATATGATGTATGCTTTTCTTGTCCATTATCACATTGCTATGTTTTTTTAATCAAATTTCGTGGCATTCTTTTCTTGTTAATTACATCTGTATGGCATATCTTCTTTTTTTATCAGTTCCTTTTTTCACAACTTTCTCAACCATACACAAGCATGCCTTTTTCCCTATTTTTTAAAAATATTATCCAAAAGTTTTTTTTATTGTTCCTTGTTAAACTTATAAGACTAAGAATAATATTAATTTAAAAACTCAACCTCTTCTTATAATTTGCTTACACTTGCAGGTCTATCTTTCGCACCTTCCTCACTTTGCCACCGTCAATCTCAACATCAAAGTTGTTCTCTCCAGCCTCAAGCTCCATTGTTATCATGCCCAGGAAACATATTGACATCAACAACATCATAACACCAAATCAGATTTCCACCCTTTATGCTCCATCTTCAACTAGTTCAATATTGATGGGAGCAGCACCATCATCAATCTCACGAAGTTCTGTTCAAAGATGAAAAAGATCCTCCTTTCCATCACTAATGGGCTTGGTGCTTCACCTAATCAAAGTTCATGAACCCCCCTTCCAGGTCCACCTCAATACCCATCCCCATCTCCCCCAACATCAAAATCTCTCAAGCATCCCTTCTCAATCACCTCAGTTGGAAGCATTTGTGCTTCTTTTTGGGTGATCAAATGATACAATGCATGTGGATTAGGCATTTCTGATTTTGTTTGAGAAGGAAAGATGTTGCAATCAGCAAGCATTGGGGAGCCGCTGCTAGTGATTTTCTTTAGTGAGTTCTTGTGCTCCGATGATGATTCAAAGATGATATTGGAGAAGCAACCAATGAATGTCCCTTCTACTTCCATATACTTAGATGAAAATAAGAACATTGGTTTGGGCTACGGGCCGTGAGGTTACTAACAGTACAAACAAGGATCTCACTAATGAGGCCGTAATCTTGAACATATTTTTTTGTTTTTTGTCTTTGACAGTAATAAATGCATAAGAATACTAATCATGTTTTTATTTTATATTAGAGCATAAATAAAATAAAATAAAAACAAGCTAAAATTTGAAAAAAAAAAAAAAAAAAAAAACAAAGTTATCCAAAGCAGCTTTTAATTTGTACACATCCGCTAAAGGACTCCTGCCCCCAAAATCCATGGGCAAACATTTCATAAACAGAAGAAAAAGTAGATGGCGTAGAACATGATACAAAGACCAATGAAAACCACAAGAAAGATTTTATCCTTTCTCAGTTACTCAAAATTACCTGATGATCTTCTCATGTTGTGTTTCGTGTGCATATGCAAGCATTTCACTGGCCTTATCACTTGCTGTTCCAACCATAAGCAAGCCCATGCTGATACCAGCAGCTTCACCCGCTACTGCACTATCATTAAAAAGGATATTTTTTACCTCCTCATATATTTCCTCATCAGCTGTTCCCAAAGCAGCCAATCCAAGACCTAAGCAAGCCCCGTGCTGAATAACCTGCAAGTTCAAAACAATCCACCATTGCCAAGTAGGTTAAAATTTGGATTTAAGCTCAATGAAGTAGAGAGCATACAGAACTCAAAAAAATCTACTACCTCTGAGCCAGTGTTTTGTAGGCTATCCCTAAGGAACTGTTTGATTCCTTCACCATGATTAGCATGAATAAGACCCAAGGCATAAAGGGCCCCACCTTCTGAATAAGGACTGCCGCCGCCAGCAGCACCAGTCTGAGGCAGATAAGGTGCCATAAGAGCTCGACCTTGCTTGAGGTGCCCTCTGTGGATAACCCCAAGGCCAGCAGTAGCACTAAATTTAGCCCAATTGGTTGCTCGGCTCAACCAATCCTGCCAGATCAAAGAATACAGTTTTACACGATTTGGAGGAAAAAACCGACATTTCCAGTAGGAAACAATAATTCAGAATAATCTATTCTTTACCAAATTCTCTCTCAGGAAGGTGTCCACTGTTGTTCCTGCATGCATAAGAGCATTTGCACAGATGGTAGCACTGTGACACACACTATTTCTCATTTCCACCGACTGCTTTATAGATTTCAAAATCAAAAGATCTGACCTGTACATGCAAAACAGACATAAATACATTAAAGATTAAAGAATAAAGATTTTACGAAGTCTGGACGCACCTGTTGTGGCTATATAAAAATTGTAATGTCAGCTGTATTGATGTTTCCCCAGAAAAAATTCCCTTTATTTTGGTAAGTTTTCCATTGTATGCAACTTCCGTAGGATCTAAATTACCATTGGGTGCATGAGAACTCTCCGCCATGAGAACATCTTGTGCTCCACTAACAGCATTATCAGCTTCATCAGCATTTCCATTTTCAGATTTCATACCAACAGATCCATCGTCTGGAAGGCTTGCTGCTTCAGGTTTCAAGTATAGGTGATTTCTAACATCTAGTAGGAAAGCTTGATGTTCATTCTCAACAAGATCAAAAGCAATCTGAAATGCTAGAAGAGCATCATCCTGGAATACATCTCCAGGCACTCAGTTTCAAAACTAAATTGCACGATTCAGTTCCAAATTACTTCAGTATAAGGATTGCATATGAAAAACAATGGAAGTAAATCAATTACCTTGCTATCAGACCGTAGAAGTCTCTCCACTATCCTTGCAACAGTCTCAGGTTCATTCAGAAACATAAGGCATTGGCAAATGTTTACGTAATCCGGAGATGGCAGTCCTTGATATATTTTAACAAGGAGGCGAAGAATCTACAGATACATAAACACAATAAATAACTTAATTACAATCTTTAATAGAGCATTTATCAAAACTTGTGAAAAAAAAGGAAATTATTTTTAAAACTAGACAAACAAATTCAGTTCTCATTTTTTATTTGAAGTAAATGAAATGTGAAACCTAAAAAATATCACTATTTTTTTTAGTTTCTTCTTTGAAGAATGAACATTATACAGGACATGGGAAAAATTTGAGAACGAGTACAATACAGGTACAAGGAAAGCCTTAAATATATATATATATATATATAACAGAAGGACATGCATAGAAATACACGAATACATAAGTACTTCACCATACTAACAAATATAAGCATCCACTTATGCTTGCTAAAACAGAAAAATAAAAAATATTAGCATTGACTAATACATAATCATGGATATTAATGGAAGATGAACAGCTAATTTTTTTGGAGCACAATTACTTACCTCGCATCGATATTCTCTGTGATAAACATACGCATGTGAAAGATTTATGCAGTATGAAACAGCGCCATGGACATTGTCACTTCGAGTAATTGCCTCTTCTAACTTGTCCAGCCTCCTACACTCAACAGCCATACCCATGGCTTGTTGATATTTTCCATCCAAGATACACCTGTAACAAAAGGGGTTAAGATCTATCGCAGCATAACACTATAAGTCAATCAAGTATTTTTTTTTTTTTTCGTACTTGTCCAGCATTCTCTCCACTATAGCTTCCAATCTAGGATCAATTTTTGTCCCTTCTTCACCCATTTTGTCACTTTTTGACTTCAAGCTAGCATATTCATCAATGGCTTTGGCTGTAAACCACAAAAGAGGAAAAAAAAAACTATGAGCACACTAGAGAAACTTCTTAGAAGCAGTTAGTACCGGCACAGAAAAGCAAAAACAGTTCCAACCGAGGAGGGTATGAGCATAGTCAGAATCTTCGGAAACATCAAACATAGCACCAGCACCAAGCGCATACGACAAAGAGTCATTAAGCTCTCCAAGGTAGTAAAATACCTATCAGCAGCAAGAGGCAAGAATATCATTGATGTCAATAAACCAAACTGTCCATCACCACAAGTTAAAAAGCCTGAATTGAAGTAGAACAAGACCTTTGAAACAACAAGCGCAGCAAGCTGCCTCTGATCAAAGCCCTCGTCCTCATATAAGCTTTCTCTACATATTATCAAATAAAAAAAAGCTCAGTTTTGCAAGAAAAACATTTGATGAACTCCTATTCCCTTTCATTGGAGAATATCAAAAATTAAGGAAACGTCGGAAATTGCAATTAACAATATAAAATGGTCATGACGCCCCCGCAATCTGGCCCTCTGGGCACGAATTCAAACCATCAAAAATCACAAATTTAAACAAGAAATGATTAAAGTTAGAAAACTATTTCCATATGTATATATCAACATCATCTTATACAGTTCCTTTTTTTCTGCTTCTTCACTATCAAAAATAGACCGGCGATGCCCGCAGTACTGCAGAGGCCCAAAACCCTAATTTAGATGTGAGTAGAAAGAGGAGCAAGGAATGAAAAGTAAATTTAGGGCTCACATTGTGGGGACGCTTGTGGAGATCTCTGGCCAGAAAAGATTAACAAGGGAGTTGAGTTTCTGGAGCGCATGCAGCTTGAGGACTGGATGCTCCTCGTTCAGCATGGCTAGTAGGCCGCTCGCCGAGCTCACCACCGCCATGATCGAAGAAGATGACTAAGGCTCGTCTAGTTCAGAACGAGGAAGCTGGGACGGGAGAGAGAATGAGTTGTCTGCAGTTTACTCGAACAACGAAAAGTGAGAACTACGAGAGGAAGCAATAATCTTTGCTTGGAGAAAAAGACAACAGGAGAACGGGAAAGGGGCGTTCTCTCTCTCTTGTTTTCTTTTTCTTTTTTTCTTTTTAACGATTAAGGGAATCTGCTGCAGAGATTATTTGAAAAATCATTAATTTGAATTACACATTTCGTAATTTAACATTTATTATTTTTTAAAAAGAACTAAAAACTGAGCATAAAATATTTCAAAAAAATATATTTTTACATACCTTATGATAATCATATTTAAATAAGTATATGTACTATAATTTTATTTGAAGAAATAAGATCAAAATTTTATTTTGGACAAACAATAACTTTTCAATAGAAATATGAGTTCTATTTTCTCATAATAACATGAATATTGTTGCACCTTGGAATATTCACAGTGCCAGAAAAATATAAAGTTTAACGTCTTAGCTTTGTACGAAGATCCAACATACAATCAAATAAGAGAGAGTGTGCAGTATTTACAAGAGATACCAAGATTTTTTACATGGAAAATACTGAAAAGATGAAAAAAAACCACAGGGCCTAACCCAGTTTAAATAAATCCACTAGTATTTATAGGTTATTACAAACGATGCCCTTTATTGGAGGGAAGGTCATGGTTTGATGTAACAAATATACATCATATTGAATGCATTACATTGTAGAAATTGGAAAAATCAATATTGATATGTGCGTTTGGTCAGCAGGATCATAGTCGGCGGGTGTCTGAGGTCGGAAAGACCATAGTCTGGTGACAGATGTCGGAAGGCCTGTAATCGACGAAGGAGGTTGGAAGGATTGTAGTTAGCGGGCGACGAAGGTCGAAAGGATCATTGTTAGTGGGCGACAGAGATCTGAAAGACTGTTGTCTGCCAATGGAGGTCGAAAGACTGTAGTTGGCGAAGGAGGACGGAAGGACCGTAGTCGGTAGGCGGCGGAGGTTGAAAGGATTGTAGTCAGTCAAGAAGGTCGGAAGGACCATAGTCGGCTAGTGAAGATGGTCGGAAGTCTGGCGATGGGCGGAAGTTCGACGTCAGGTAGAAGTTCAACGATGGACGGAACTCCGGTATTAGATAGAAGTCCGACGGAAATCCAGCGACAGGTAGAAGTCATGTTCCGGCGTCGAATAGAAATCTGATGATGGGCGAAAGTTCGACTTCGGGTATAAGTTCGACGAAAGCCCGGCGACGGGCAGAAGTCCGGTGACAGGTGGAAGTCCAGCGTTATGCATAAGTTCAAGGTCGGGTGCAAATCTGGTGACGGGTAGAAATCCGACGTTGGGTACAAGCAGTGGCGGAGCCAGGAACTTCTTATAGGGGGGGCACAATTTTTTTTTCAAAGAAATTCATGATTGCATGGGAGACATGGACCGCTATGCAAGTACAACCTTCAAACTTGGTATTGAATATTAGAAATCTATTCATTAATAGGATTTCGCAAACCATAATCAGATGGATGATTTAAATCTACTTCAAAATCTTTTGATAATTCTTTTACTATGCAACTTCTTTTCTTATTTTGCTCTTCGTCATTTTTTTTTTCTCACCTAAAGTCATCAATAAGCTTGATTTTAAAAACTTCTTAAAATATCTTTCTATAAATTTTTTGTCAGTTTGGATTATCTAAACAAGAAAGTAATAATCTAGTCAGTATTTTGACAAAGAAACATTTTATCAAACACCACAAGAGCATATCAATTACAATTCAATTTCATAAAAGGATAAACAAAATATGACTAAAAAATTAATATAAACTTCATTTTTCATTAGGAAGTCAATTTTTTCTCTAATCACAGATTAAAAATCTGAACAGAAACTGTCCAGAAAAAAGTACTAAATTAAAAAAAAATGATTCATGACAGATTCATTATTTGGTAGAAGTTTGTTTATCTAAAATATCGCTAAATAAAAAAAAAGTAAAAAAAAAAAGTCCCAATATGACATAAATGGATGATTTACTGCTTCCAAGAGAAGAAAAGACTAGGCCAAAACTGCATTTGTTCAGCTTTAAAGCCCATGAGGGCTGAAATTGGAGACCCTATATTGAAATAAATCAGCTTTTTTAGGGGGGGCACGTGCCCCCCCTTGCCGCCCCCCTCCCTCCGCCCATGGGTACAAGTCTGATGAATGGCAAAAGTCTGGCGACTGACAGACGTTCGACGTTGGGTAGAAGTCCGGATGGAGAAAAGTCCGGCGAGGTGCGAAAGTTTTGCAATGGGTAGAAGTCCAATGAAAGTTCGGTGACTGGTAAAAGTCAAGCAACCATCAGAGCTACGACGATGGACAAAAAGTCTGACGATGGATGAAAGTTCGGCATTGGGTAGAAGTCTGACGAAAGTCTGATGACTAGCAGAAGTCCAGCGTTTGGAAGAGATCAAACAACAAGTGGAAGTTTGTCATCGGGTAGAAGTCTGAAAAAAGTACGGCATCGGGTTGAAATCTAGCGACGGGTGGAAGTCCCGTATCGGGTATAAATCCAGTAACAGGCTGATAGTCGGTGACAGAGCAGATGCCTCGGCGTTAGTCACGGTAGTCCGTGGTCGGGCTGAAGTCCAACAATGGTGGAGGAGGAATATGGTGGCAAGAGAGCTCTACCTTCTCTTCCTGCTTGGATCTCCTTCCTTCTTTTTTTTCTTGGATCTCCTTCTTCCATCCCCTTTTCACTTGAAATGAGGGGACTATTTATAATTTTATGAGAGTGGCATGACAAATAAATAAGAAGAAGATCAAGGATATACGAGTGGTTTGAATGGACGGCCGATGTTAAATCTCTTGATCATGGATCGTTTATTAGATATTTGAATGTCTTAATGGTATCATAATTCGGTGATCTTGGAATTGTTGGATTCTTCTTGTCGAGCTGCTCGATTTGAGTGTAAGCATGTTATGTTTGGAAACTATTTAGTAATCCAAATTATGGTTTAAACCTTCCCAATGTGCTTTGGGTCTTTGATTTGGACTCATTTAGGCTCAGATTAAGTCGAATTCGGTGTCGTTGGGTTTGTATTTGCAAGAGATTCAGTTCGACTATAAGTTTGCTGAAATTGGAGTTCAAATGGTCTCCAATTTATTTTTAAGTTTCCAACTTAATTTTCCCTCGAGATTCGTGCCCGATTAACATAATTTTCTGAAGATATATCAACTGCCGCCTATTTTTTGGATGTCAAAGCTCCATAAGTCTAAAATGTTTATCTAAACATTTTAAATTGATCCAATCGCAAAAACTATCGGCAATTTTTCTTCCAAAATATTTAAAATTGCTCAAATTTGATCATAGAAGCTTCATTGAGCTCTGAAAGTGCCAAAATGGGATCCTGAACGTCAAAAAATGATTTTAGTGATCCTAAAAATGTCATGTTCAGACTGTCCAGGCTAAAAAAATAGGCGCAGACAAATTTAGGCGCCCGAACCGGCTGGCCACCAGCGACAAAAAAGAACGCCATCTCTAGTCGTGCGGTCTGAGCAGTTGTCGTTAACTGCTGGCTGCAGTTAGGAAAAAAATTTAAGACATGGTCCTTATAAATTTTTTTATGTGTTTTGTCAGACTGTAGTAGCCTGCCTCTTTATTTATTTTTTTAATCCAAAAATTTCTTTTAGGGGTCCAAAAAAATTTTAGAAAATCATAGAAAAAATTTTAAAAAAAATTATACAAAATTATAGAAAATCCCCCCCCCCCCCTCCTTTTAAACCATTTCCCCCTCTCCCCCCCCCCCTCTACTTTTAAACCATTTCCCCCTCTTTTTGTCCTATAAATAGCTCTCTTATGGCAGGGAAAAAATATTTTTCTTCTCCTTATCCATTCTTCTTCTAACTTTCTTACAATTGAGACCTTCCACTATTTTTTGTATGTGGCATCCCCTACTCAAATTAAGTGCCACTCTCTTGTACAGAAGTTAGAATTTTCAATCTTTCCCTCAATTTCTCCCCCCATTTTCATCTTACTCTAGAGGTTTTCCATTATTTTTTGAAGGTGAAATCCTTATCCAAATTCAGTGCCCTCTTTAGTGTGGAAGGAAATTTTGCTTCCTTCAATTATCTTTTCTTTCATGTTTCTTCTTATATTAAAGACATTCCACTGTATGAGATATGTGACATCATCTATCAAGCTTAAGTGCCCATCTTTTGTGCAGAAGAAGCTTTCTCCTCCCTTTTTTCTTCTCCTTTAATTATCTTCTTATATTAGAGGCATTCCAATATCTTAGATAGGTAGCATCCCCTATTAAATTTTAATGACCCTATTTTGTGTAGAAAAAGTCATGATGAGAGCTTTCTCTCTCAATAAATTGTCCTTAACATATGAAGAGCAAAGTCCTCTTTCATGTAAGGGTGATTTGAAAAGATATAAAGGTAATAATATTAGGGAAAAGAACCAATGGTTTTTAGTAAATTGGAAGAATTTTGATAATGTTTGAGCAGAAATCTGGTGACAATCGGCGGCAAGGGGAAAGTGTGGCGGCAATCGGTGATTGGGGGGAAGTCCAACAGCAATCGACGATCAGGTGGAAGTCCGATGGAGATCGATGGTCGGGAGGAAATTCGATCGTGGTCGACGGCCAGGTGGAGAGCTGAAGGAGACAGTTGGAGGGTGTGCTGCTAATTATAGTCGAGCGAGAAATCGATGATAATTGATATGAGGTGAACGGTTGATGGCGGACATAATGCAAAAGGCTGATGATGAGGGTGTCCAGTAGCATTTTATTAAATATAATATGCATCCATTATAATATGTGCAAACATCAAACATCCCTTTCTTTGAAGAAGAAATTATAGGATATGCTTCAATATGCAGAAGAGAAGAGGTCACTTGCATCCACCAAGGATATTTGATCATTTTAAGTTATTTGTTTCTTGATAACATTAACTTGTACGGATGATATCACTATACTTTTAATTTCAGCTTCTTGTAAAAATGAATGTATACTTGAACTTAATATAAAATTTATGTAACTCCATTGATATTATATATCAATTTGAGATTATTATAAATGCACAATGCTTATTTCTGACTTGAAATAAACTTATCCTCAAGATTAAATTTGTCTTGTGCCTTTTATGAC